CTTATAAGAACAACTGGAACTCCAAGCCGTGGATCACCACACAGGTTGCGTTCAGACAAATATAAAATTGCTAAGGATGAATTTTAGCATTTGTTTGATTAAAGTATTATACCACTTTTCAAAAACCTATAGACTTCTCCACTCCATATAGTGTCTAAAAAAGATATTGGTACTTGGCGCCCGTATTCATATTTTCGTCATTCAAACTAACACAATCCCTGATAGATACTGGAATCCCAATGTTCCCGATTTTGCCATCAGCAATGAGGAGAATATACAGAAAACAGCTACCATCACACGTTTCGGACATTTTGATTGCACGAAATTACCTTTAAGTTTGAGAAATGCAGCACAAACATTCCAAAGGCTGATCGGAGAAGTCTTATGTGGTCTACATTAACATTTGCATATATTTTTGTCTTAACCGCCCAGCAAGAATAGAGAACGTTTCGACTATCTCCAACTGGTTTTCAGCAGATTAGCTCATTATTTGTCTATATTTCTGAGATGAGGTATTATGTACACTATTTACATTATTCGGACTATTGTCCTCATCTTTATCGCCATATTTATTACAACGTTTCGGCCGTTGTACGCTCCAGCCTTCTTCAGGTGGTTGGAATGTCGAGCTGAACCCTTTATTTCGCTCACTGGGGTAGACTGTTCTAGTTCCACGTGCCATGTCTAATGAATGTCAGTTATCAGTTATCTCCCGTTAATTCCCCTCTCCAAGTTCTCCAGCGCCTTAACCAGGCATTGATAGGACCCAAAGAGTGTGAGTTCAATACCTGTTTAAGGCGGTGGAGAACTTGGAGAGGGGAATTAACAGGAGATAATTGATAAACGTTTCATTTAAAGATGCTCACAAATCCTTTACTTCTTGATAAACTTATGTACAAACAAAAAGTAAAAGAATTTTACTAAATTGTCGTATATCGATGACGACCCCAACACAAGACCAACCACGTGTTTCCTCAACAATGACTGGATATGACAAGTTACGGAGGAATAAGATAAACTAATTTCTTTTTCAGTGAAACTAAATTCTGCTCAACGGTAGTACAGTAGCCTTTCCAGAGAATTACTTCCAATATACCTTCCAACAGACTTTTGGCGCATTATGAAATGACGTCACTTTATCGTTTTACTGAACACAAAACTCTCACGTACGCCTTACACTGCAATACACAGAAGCGTATACCTAGAAATGCTCGATATCTGGATGATATATCTCAATACACGTCGTTACATAAAGATAAGTGCCTCCAAAGAAAAACTATATATAAGGTTTAAATTATTTTTTTAAAAAGAAAAATCTTCCTTTTATTTTAGGTTTAATTTTAATAAGCTAATAGATTAAATCTAATAAGCCAAATAATTTGCTGTATTTCAAAACGAATTTAAATTAATTAGAATGATTTTTTAATCACTAACCATTTTAGTCATATTTACAAATCTCTTTATTAAAAAGTCTTTCAAAATAAAATATACTTTACTGAAACGCTGAGGAAGATTGGCTGATTTAAAATTTGAACTGATTTGAAATGAATATTAATTACTTTTAATTTAAAAATATTGCAGAAAAGCATTTTTTAACATGGCGGGAGCTGTTTTTATGTGGTGTTGGGAACTATCTCGATAGACTTATGTTTGGATACTTTTACGTGGGACATATTTCTAAGCAACTCTTGAATATAATGTTAGTGCCTTTTCCTTATAATATTTTTAACTACCCATTAATCTTAAAAAATTAGGTAAAATTCTAAGTAATTTTATTGAATTTTGGGTACTTTGGTTTTAAATTTACTGTAGTTACAGCTCTTATTTTCTGAAAATGTGGTATATGGGCATCCATATTTACAAAACTTTTACACACACACACACACACACACACACACACACACACACACACACACACACACACACACAATCAAAATTCTTTTTAAAATATTGTGGTCATTGAATTGTAGCGAGCTTTTTCATTTATGATTAGCAAGAATAGTTTTTACTTCATAGCAGTATCATCTCACCGCTACAAGTTAATACAAAATTTTAAAAGACATAAAACTTTATAAATTATTAAAAAGAATGAATAAATTCATGTAAAAATTAATTATTCACCAACTTTTTCCCCCTAAGACTATAGACTATATTCATAAAAGCGATTAAAATCATTTCTAATTAAATAATATTTTTTATTGCATGATTTAGAGCAGATTCCTATTTGACCAAAAAGATTTGGTGATTTAAATTCTCCTAGGACTTTTGCTTATAATATAAACATGAACGGCTACAAAATAGAATTTCTCGAAATTTCATAAAATTAAACAAGTGTGGGATAGCAAACGTAAAAAAATATTTTACCAGGATTTTCTAAAAAAAAAAAATCATTTAAAAAATAATTTAACTCATTTGTGAACAAATCCTGAAAGTTTCATTAAAATTCAATAATTATCTTATTTTTGCAAGAATTTCCAAATCAATGTGTTTTTCACAGCAAAAAGACGCTAAAATTTCCCACACTAATTTATGGTTTTCCGTTGATGACAGAGAAAGATGATTTTTAACCAAAATTTCAAAGATTCTAACAAGGATAAAGTCCTTCAGTGTTAATAATAACACAGATTTTAATAATAAAACCTTGTTTTTATTAAGATTGCCGTATTTTTTCATCATGTATGCCTATTTTTTAATGTAACTTTGGAGGTACATACTATGTAGTTTAAAATATCCCTAACTTCAATTCTATACACGGTAAAACCATTATGTAAAGAGCTTTGAGAAACAAGATTCTTTCACTTCAGCAGATCATTATTTATATTTATTAATCATTTCCTTGATTTTATTTGTGTATTTATAAAATCAGTTGTAAAATGTATCTGTAGATATTCAGAGGCATATCATATGTGTACGTGCAATAGTGGCGGATATATTTAAAGAGAATGAATTTGTCTAAAAATCTCAATTCGTTTTCACCTTTTTTAGTAATTAGTTTTGACATGAATCAAAATGAAGTTATACTCTTAAGCTGTGATAAAACCCTGTACTTATTTGCATTGTAGCGTTTAAGTGAAATTTACACAATGTTTAGGTATTTGTATATAGATTTATTCAACCACACCTGTGCCATTTTATTCCACTCCCTTCATCATGTTTGAAACAGCTTCATGGGGCTATCCTCCCAGAACTTTGGTACCTATTTGGTTGATTAACAGGTCTAAGTGTTTTTTACAGTCTCCCAGTGAAATGAAATTCTTACCATAATGAGAAGTTTCTAGAGATCAAAATAAGTGGTAATCCAAAGGTCAGGTGAATACGGTGGGTGTTGCAGGATATCCCTAGCCAAGTTATATCGATTTATAACGGATAGGCAAAAATACGTAAAGTCAGGTGTCATTCTGATGGAAGACGACACCTTTCCGATTGGCAAATTTCAGACGCTTTTTATTGACTGCAATATTTCAGTCCAATTGGGAACAGTACTTGTCTGAATTCAATGTTTGATTATAGATTTCTTATCCCACCATGTACACAATATCACCTTCTTTGGGTAAGCTTTTGGGGTGGTTAGTGGTAGGTCATTTCATTTTTTTCAGGAACTTTATCCAACATACATTGTTTTAAAAATTAATTTTTCATCACCTGGTCATATTCTTTAAAAAGTATCATTTTTGTTGCGTTTGAGCAGATAAATATTAATTTTTTTTGTATTAACCCATGAGGTACCCAAACTAGCGTACTGACTATTAACCGAAAAAACCGACTTTTTTCTGTTTCATCTTCACACTATGAAACCGCATCGAAATTTTTTACAAAGCCGAAATCGTTCATTTTTTTAAAAAGTGCTATTATTACTGAGTGAGCATATCCAAAGAAACACTATTGAAAAAGACTTTCAGAGTTAGTAAAATTAAATTTTATCAACATTTATAACATTGTAAGAGAAAAAGATTGAACAAAAATAGGTTAAAACATTTCATTGACTAGTTTTAGGAAATAAATGTGAAATCTATTTGTTTAGAAATGAAGAACAAAAAGGAAATACGACATAATGTCTGAAATCGATTTGTTTCAGTTTTCAAAAAAAAAAACTTTTTGTGATAGGGGAGGATGGGGGTAAGATGAATCACTTTTTAGATTTTTTGACTTGGTGTCTCCCGTGTTAATGTCATCCAGTCTATGCTGGGGTTAAATTGAGCACTTGCCATTTACCTTTGACCATACACAATTTGGATGTTTTCATAATATGTCTTCCACATTTTTAAAGCACTTGAAAAATGGTGTTAGAAAGGTTCAATTTACCTCACATATTGGGTAAGTTGAACCACCCCATGGGGGTAAGTTGAACCCCCCTTTGAGGTTGAGGAGAGAGAAAAGATATTTCTACAAAATAACAGAAAATAAAGGACGAAAGGATTTGAATTTCAGAAAAAAGAATAGACCTGCAAATTTACTGTCCAATTGTAGCATCCAACAACAACCACCATGGCAATACGGTCACATTCCAGTCTCTGAAAGATTGAATTTTTCCAGGTCACAGGGGAAGACCCATTGGTTCGATTTGCGTTCACTCCCCAACAAGTTGTTTGGCGCTGGTAGTTTTTTTTACAGTATCTTGTCTATCGAATGATGCTTCATCATCGGGGTCGATAATGAAGGCCTGTCTGCCGTCCATGGGTTTTCGGCCTTGGATTCTCTTCAAGAAGACACCCTCGAGTTCATCACCATCAATTACATCGAGTCTGGCGATGTATCGACGTGTGGTTTTCATGCCATTGACGCTGACTACCACGAAATCACCTATTAGTTCGTCATCCGATACATCGTCGTCATCAGAATCGTTCATGGCCATGAACTCACAGTCTTCATCATCGCTGTCGTCATCCGAGGTGACATTGGCTGTTGTCTTTTGGGATGTCTAAACAGTTTCTTTTTTATGTCTTTGGTGGGTTTAACATTTGCTTTTTCTGCTGCCAATTCATCTCGGACTGGTGTGTCAGTCAGTATTTTGGTTGCTCTTTTCTTTCTTCCCCCTTTTGTTTTTCTTGGTTCAGCTCTTGGGAAAGGATAGATTGCTGATGGCGAGACGTATTCACAAGAACTGGAAACAGGCTGTTGACCCATGCCACAAGAACTAGGTCTTGGGATCGGCAATGAACCCACAGCACCTGAGCTTGGACCAGGAATTGGATCCAGATCTGCAGCATCTGCATTTGCTTCAGGATTTTGACGGTCAGTAACTGCAGCTGAAGCAAAATCAGCATCCATGAATTGTAGGGATAGATGCCAGTGGCTGCAAATCCTGCCTTGATATTGCGTTGTGACATGGCACAGAGGTGAGCTTCAGAAACAATGGTGGGAATGTCGTAGATGGTAACTGTTCTCCCAGGATGAGAGCGAATCCACCCGTCCATTGCCGCATTGTAGGCCTTCTTAAATGGACCGTAGACGGCTTTATCAAGAGGTTGTAATCGGTGGGATGTGTGGGAAGGAAGTGTGAGCAGAAGAACGCCATTCTCACGTGCAAGGTCAATTGTCTTGATCGTGATATGTTCTTCCACATTATCCAGAATTAGCAGCACTGGTCTTTCTTTCGTGCAACCAGTGTGTTGAATGAAACGTAGCATATAATCTACAAACAGGTCTTCATTCATCCAGCCAGTGCGAGATGCTCTTCCAATAGAGCCAGCAGGCGCACCATTCAAGAAATGTTCCCGAAACTTCACCCGTGGAAACACAAATAATGGTGGAATCACGTTCCCTACAGCATTCACACAATATTCCAGTGTCACTAATTCACCACGTTCTGCACTGGTCAGAGATCCAACTTGCCTTTTTCCTTTCTCTGTGACAACTTTTCCAGAATTTTGCACAGTGGTGCAGCCAGTTTCATCGAGATTCCAAATATCACTTGCAGAGAACTTGAATCTGTCCATAACTGCTGCCAAATTATTGTAGAACTGGACTACATTGTGGCGGTTGAAAGCAGTCGCCCAAGCAAGAGACGTAGGTTCTGGTGCCTATCTTTAAATGAGTAGAACCAGTCTTTACCAACCTTATTTTTCCTTTCCCAGTTGACAGGAACCAGAATGGCATTCTTTTTTTTTGCAAACTCGAAGGTAAATGCCCGACATTTCTCTTCACTCAGACCATGAAATTGGTTGGACAAGTGTGTTATGTGCTGTGCTAAGTCATTCTCCATTTGCAGTGGGAACACACATTTTAATTTTGACAGTCTGTCATATCCAGTTATGATGTCTTCATCTGCTTTATCCCTTGACTTCACAATGAAGCCACATAGTGTGGCACGGTCGATGTTGAAGTTCCGTGATATTTCTCGTAGGGGAGCACCAGCAGTGAATTCAGCAGCGGCCTGTTTTATCACATCGATGGGGACTTTGGCCCGCTCCGTCTTTCGAACATACTTCCGAGGCATCTGAAATGGAACACATAACATGGGGATAAGAGTAATGTTCTAGTCTAAAATGAGAGGCCTACTTAGTTTTTTCAACGAAACAAACTGATGTTTCCACCAATGTAAATAAGTGATGTAGGCCTCGGAAGAAATGACAAACAGGCAAAAGAGCAAATCAAAACGAAGAGAGCAACAGAAAAGAGCAAATTTATAGCACAGAATATCCAGAAGCTGGGGGATACTATTTATATTGAATGAGTCCCTGGCATCCCCACAAGAGGGGTTGGGGGGGAGGAGAGAGAATAATGTGGCACACATGTTGGGGTTCATCTTACCCTCAGCTCAAGGGTTCATCTTACCCCACGGCAGCCATCTTGAAAAATTAATCTGGCAGCAAGGCAATCCACTCTGTAACCATTAACAACATGCACAGAAGAACAGTCAAATAACAATTCAACCTCCAGTAATTAACAATGAAAAGAAAACAATTATACTTACCAGCGAATTTGGTGATATTCCCACTTTCCAACTTTTCACTTGATGATCGTCAAAACACTTTTTTTCGCACCCAAACTCTCAAACTGGCAATAAATCGGCGCCAATCGCTCAGAGACCTGTGGTGACGTGTTGCTTAATGTGTGTAACGTCAGAGGTTTATGGGGTCTCTGTTAACTCGTATACAAGCGTTGGTTCATCTTACCCCATCCTCCCCTAAAATTAAGTTAACAAAATATCGAGTAAAAATTTAAAAAATAGTTGCCAGTTTCGTCATAATGTTAAATTTAAATGAAGTCGGAGTTTTTGTAAGGGTCGTACGTAATTGTTTTCTAGTAAGGCAGTTTTAATCTCAGTTTTTTTAAAATGTGTATATTTTCAAAACTGCAAGTCATTTTTTTAAACCCAAAGGAAAAATTATTCTTTTTTAGCTATTACTTAGTGATCGGAGTGTGTTCTCAGCTGCCTATAAAATTCTTCTAAACAAGGGAAATTATTTCATTTTATTTTTACAAATATCTTTATGGTTTTATCTGGCAACCAAGTAAGATTACATTAAAATGATTAAAAAAATAGTTTTTAATTTCAGT